AGAGCTATGTTTCACAACAGGAGAAAAGACTTTGTTATAGTCAATACCTGGAATCTGGCTATAACCTTTAGCAACTAACCTTGCTTTATATCTTGTCTTATAATTAGGAGAAACACCTTCTTTCCTCTTTAAAACCCACTTGCAACGAATTGGTTTCTTCTATCTAGGCAATTTTATTAAATCCCAAGTGCCATTCTTTTCAAGTGATTCCATCTCATCATGCATAGCGGTCATCCACTTATTACTATCACCAGAAATAATAGCCTCGGAATATGAAGAAGGCTCAGCATTACCTTCAATTTCTTCTGCAACAGATAAAGAAAAAGAAACAATATTGCACTCTTCAATTAACTTGTCAGGTTTATTAATACCCCATCTAACTCTGTCACGTGCAAGATTCCAACTGGGTGGAACAATAGGCTGATTTGGAGTGGGAGTGACATGCTCATCATCAACGATGGGTTCATCGTGTGCATCAACAATTTCATTACCAGATGTATCACATGTTTCAATAACATGCTCCACCTGAATAGTAGGATGCTGAATAGTAGCCTGCTGTTCACTCTCAACCGGAACATTAGTAGATGAAACGTCATGTAACATAGCAGATTCATTAAAGATAACATTTCTGCTAATAACAACCTTCTGGGTGTCAGGATTCCACAATTTAAACCTTTAACACCAGATTTATAACCAAGAAAGATGCACTTAACAGCCCTAGGCTCCAACTTTCCATTATCAACATGAGCATAAGCAGTGCAACCAAAAACTCTCAACTGTGAATAATCAGCAGGTGAACCAGACCATAACTCAATTGGAGTTTTCTTATTAAGAGCAATAGATGATGAACGGTTAATGAGATACCAAGCAGTGGAAGCGGCCTCAGCCCAAAAACACCTATGCAAACCTGCATTAGACAACATGCAACGGGCTCTGGAAATAATGGTCCTGTTCATACGCTCAGCAACACCGTTTTGTTGAGGAGTATAAGGAACGGTGTAGTGTCTGACAATGCCTTCACACTTGCAATAATTCTTAAATTGCTTAGAACAGAATTCCATACCATTATCAGTGCGAAGTATTTTTACCTTCCTTTCAGGTTGCTTCTCAATCATAATCTTCCATTCCTTAAATGCTGAGAATGCTTCATATTTATGCTTCAAGAAATAAGGCCAAACTTTTCTCGAATAATCATCAATAATAGTCAGCATGTAACTTGCACCACCTAATGACTTCTTGCGAGATGGTCCCCATAAATCAGAATGCACATAATCAAGAATACCTTCAGTTGTATGGGTGGAAGTATTGAACTTAACCCTCTTGTGCTTGTCGAAGATACAATGCTCACAAAATTTCAATTTACCAGGTTCATATCCATCCATAAGACCTCTCTTATTTAACTTTGCTAAACCAAGTTCACTCATATGTCCAAGACGCATATGCCAAAGGTTAGTAGCATCACAATCAGAATTCTTTGAAATAACTGGAGTAGCGTTACCTGAAACGGTAGAACCTCGAAGGTAATAAAGACCATTGGTCGAACTTAAATCACCTTTCATCACAACAAGGGAACCTTTGGTGACTTTGAAAACACTATCTCCACCTGAATACTTGTACCCCTTTGCATCAAGGGCACTCATAGAAATAGAATTTCTCTTCATCTTCGGAATATACCGAACATCTGTCAAAGTTCTGATTGTGCCATCATACATCTTGATTCGAACGGAACCTATTCCTTCAATCTTGCATGGTGAATTATCAAAACCCAAAACGGAACCAGCAGAAGTAGTGAAATCAAAAGTATTAAACCAATCTCTATGTGGACACATATGAAAAGTGCATGCAGTGTCAAGTACCCACTCATCATTGGTCTCAGCACATCCAGCAATAACGACAAGAGCATCATCGGAACTATCATCACGAGCAACGTTAGCAGAATTTTCACCTTGTTTGTTACCTTTCCTCTTTTCTTTGTTCTGCAACTTGAATACTCTGAGATGTCATGCCCATCTCTCTTGCAATATCTGCAATATTTCTTGTCTTAGGATTGCGACCGGCCCCTGTAGCCGTTTTTACTTTTGCCTCTTTTTCCATTATTGGAGTTCTTCTCCTTTGTCCTGCCACGAACAGATAATCCCTCGGCTTGGGATGAACTCGAACTATCATGAGGCACCATTAATTTCATCTTCTCCTTGGAGTTCAAAACTTCATAAACTTCATTAAGCGTGAGAGTATCACGACTGTATAATATGGTGTCTCTAAAATTGGTATAAGAACTTGACAGTGAACAAAGTAACATTAAAGCAGTATCTTCCTCTTCATACTTAACCTCCATTGCAGCTAGATCAGATATGATCTCTTTAAATTCTGAAATATGATTCAAAACATTACCTCTCTCGGTTAACCTATGCAGGAATAATTTTTGCTTCAGATGCATCTTGCTGGTGAGATCTTTAGTCATGCAAATCCCTTCCAGCTTTAATCATAGAGCGGCGGTAGTTTTCTTGCTCAAAACTTCCTGCAAAATATTATTATGCAAATGGAGTTGAATTTGTGACAAAACCTTACAATCAATTTGTTTTCTCCTCATCAGTCCAGTCCTGAATTCTATTCTTCCCAAAACTATCAGTGCTTCATCATAATCGGATTGTGCCAACAACGTCCGCGTCTTGACTTGCCATAGGGTAAACCTTGTGTCACGGTCCAGCAACGAAAGATCGTACTTCATGGATGCCGTGAGTAGATAAACTGTGCACAAAGTAGTACAAGCCGATAAAAAAAATTCTTGATAGAATTAATACGCGGACAAAAAACCAGAGAAAATAGCACGTGGTAGTCGCTGGTGGCCGTAGCAATCGGGGAGCAAAATCTGATCTTGACTTCACGTGTAATAAGTAATAGTTGGCTGATCTAGTAGTAGTACTTGATCGGTGAATAAAGCCAAAAACAAACTCAACTTGGCTCATGTGGACGGCTGGACTGATATCTCCTCCTCGGGACTTAGGCTTTGTACAATGGGAGGTGCTTAGGGGAGGTGCTTAAAGAAATAAACCAGCCTTTTCTTAAGCACCGGTGATTATTTGTACATGATAGACGCTTAACTAAGTGTCTCTTCTGTAGAAATAGGCACCGGTGCTTTAGAAAAACCCGGTTTATTTTTCTAAGCATCTCTCTAAGCACCTCCCATTGTATAAGGCCTTAACGAGCAGTAGCACAACTTGGCGGAACTCTCCACGACTTGGTCAAGAGCGGCTGTTGGAAATCACCTCGCGATTTGAGGAGTCCAATCGGCGAAACAGGCTCGGTCTCGGCAGCAGCAGAAATCGATCTGCACTCGGATCAACGGATCTCCAGACGTGCGCCGCCGCTGCGCACGTAACCTAATCTCTTGTCTCAATCTCGTGTATGAAACCTCAGCTCTGATACCACTTGTTAGATAATAACGAGAAATAAACGAGACAGAGAGACACGGATTTTTACGTAGAAACCCTTGCGGGATAAAACCACGGACGCACGAAGGCGTAATCACTATGATGGAGGAGTATTACAAGTACGAGACGACAGACCGTCTTAGGTGCGACTACATGGGGTATATATGAGGGGCAACAGATAAGAGTCTTTGTAGGACAAGTAAACGAGTTGTACTCATACACGTCGGTACCAATGTAAAGGCCCACACCGTATATACTACGTCTAGTTCAATACGGTACTAGAATTTAAATCATAATTTAACACTTTCTGCAAAAAATAAACGTAAGGCGGAAAAAATGACAACATCAGCACCCAAAACTATTCCCTCGTCATCCAACTTAACTGAAGCTCGTGCTCTTTTATCTCTTGACTGGTGGTATATGAACCGAGAGCCTCCTACATTTACAAGGCCACCCACGGGTGCTTCCATTTCGTTACTAAATAACCACAATGCAGAACAAATAAACATTGCAGATTACAACATATGTGTCTGCTCCCATGTACAGTAGAAAGTACGACTTTCACGGCTTTATTACTGGAAATCGGCTTGTTTGCTATCAACACTAAACGAAGAGAGTGCAGTTACCTTTTGTTCTTTTTGTTGAGAAGTGGAGACATTCAGC